AAAAAGGTACGTTTCTTACAATCTTTCATGCCCTATTTTACCCCCCCTTATGGGATGAATTTCGAAAAATGCTAAAACACATATTCATTTAATGGTATTGAAGAGCATTAATACTAAGTTTTAAGTAATTCTGATCATAAATATTTTTTGGGTAGTATTATAATGTGTTTTCCCGTGGTATTGAGATAACCTCCCACTGTAAAAAGTAGCCTATGTCTATTTGCAAACTTGCAATATCCACACAATATCCACACAAAAAAACACGCCAATACGTCATTCCGTTTCGACGTCAATAAAGGACAAGCAAACAAACTAACACATTTATAATATATATATTTATATTGATTTATTATTTGGTTATGTAGTGAAGTCAAATATCACCCACTTTATAATAAATTATATCGTATTTCAACTTTTCATCGTAACATTACTTAAAGATTAGCAGGTGTGGGGTATCAAAATCGTGATTGACTGACAAAAGGTATGAAAATTATGAAATAGTATATATATTACACTGACGAGAAACTGTATTATTTTGCTATCAAATACACGCGTGGGAACGATGCAAGGTGTTTAAAAAGTGACTTACTTAAACGATAGTTTTTAATAAAAAGTGCTTGTTCTATACTAAGTAGGTACGTACATTCTTTCTTATATTCTAACAAAGGCTTTACAGTTAGATGCTATTTTATTATTCTAGGTTTATTTATTAGACAGAAGCTATATTGTGTTTAGTACCGTTTAGTACTTAAACGTAGATTACTGCATAGTGCGTGCAGCCGCACTTTTGTTATTATAATATATAATATTTGCACACGTTTCCCCTTTTTAATAGACATGACCATAGAATATTAAAATAAAGCATTTGTCTATTCATTCATAAACATGGAAAAGGACAAAAAGTGGCTTAGTAACTTTCTAACACGTAACGATGTTAATCCCTTTAGAATACCGACAAATTGCCCGTTGCCACCCCAAACCAAAGGAGTGATTTATACAGTTTATTTAAAAATAAAATACATCCATGTTTATATTATTTCATAGAAATTTAAATTTACGAGTATAAACGCGGATGTGAATTTAAAATTAAATAAGGGTTGATGTAGCTCGCTATTATTATTATTTAAGAATTAGCTATTTTAATATAGTCTCTTAGCTAAATTATTTAAAATTTAAATACTTCCGTATATAAAAGTAACGGATATTCAACCAAACTTTTAGCCCCCTTTTCATCCCCTTCAGCGGTTGAATTTACAAACTTCTTCCTAAGCGGATATCTATTCCCTATGAGATATCTACGTGTCAAAATTTAAGTTTAAAGAATTAATATTATCTGAGATTTAGTGAATAGTCAGTGAGTGATATCTCGTTTTTAGATATTTAGGTATATATAGAAAATATTTTTTTATTCTCATCTAAGTATTTCCATAGTAATCATTTTCAATCAATCATATTAGAGCCTGTCCATATGTCCAGAGTACTCAAAAAGTTTTATAAAATGAAATATTAGTTACATTTCGATTTGTTTATAGCTAATAAAACTTAGGCTATAATCTCACAAAGGAATTATTACCTATCTAGTAGCAAGAAAAACATGTACAAAATAATACTTACGTTTAATTTGTAAAACCCATTTGTTTTATCAGGATACATTATTCCTAAAAAATATTATATCTTAATGATTCTCGCAGTGTTAGATTTATTGTAAGTCCATATTTACCTAATTCAAATTTATAGTTTTTTTTTCATTTCGATAATACGTAATACGTACTTCATACAATATAGTGATAGAAGTAGTTATCTCATACATTATTATGAGTCTAAACTTTTGACTTTAAATTACTTGAAATTACTTAAAGAAGCTATAATATGAAGGCCTTGTGTTAAAGTTTGTAGGATTATTTATCAAGTATATTTTGTCATTATTGCTTAAAAAATGACCGCCTATGAGGTCGTTAACACTAAGCAAAATCGCAAAGTCGATGTAATATTAGAATTTGCGATTCATTATAAACAAGTCGATTTATTGTAACCAGATATGATGTACCTTTTAAAGCCTAATTCGGTATTAATATTGAAATTTTTTAGAACTTCTTTTTGTATGTATATATGAATGTAATTTTAATTTTTGGTACAAAAGGCAAATGATGATTCAAAATTTTAATAATGTAATTTTTGTTAAAATAAATGTAATTTTAATAATGCTGGATATCTTATGTAGTATTTGGCAACTGCTAAGGTTGCCAATGCATTTTAGAATAACCTATACCTACATACATTCACCTTACACACATACATATGCCATATTCTATACTATATCTACGTGTATAATCTACACTAATATTATAAAGATTGTGAGTTTGTGACGTTGTAGGGGGTAATCTCTGGATCTACTGAACCGATTTAGATGAAATTTGGTAAGAAGGTAGTTTAAGAGCCTGGGAAGGACTTAGGATACTTTTTATCCCGGAAATCATCCCTTTAGGGTGTAAAAAGAGGGATGAAAGTTTGTAAGGAGGATTAAGCTAGGAACGAACCCGAACGAAGTGAGGGTGATTCGCTAAAATTAATATAAATGTATGTGATTAACATATAATCAATTATGTTACAAGTTACAACTATTTAACAAAAGGTCTAAAATTTATTGCCCTATTAAAATACTTTACACGTTTTACGACTATCCCCAATCAAATACGAATTTACAACAGGTATATTTGACCTAATAAAATCAAATTGTAGTCAAGTTGTCCTGTCAAAATAAAACATCTTATTTGTCAAACTCTATGTGACGTACGTAATCGCCAACCCTAAACGTGAAAAGATGAGCGGATTATGACGGGTCCAACCCTTTCTAAATAACAATACGTTTTTTTAATTACCATAACTAAGTCTGGCATCTTATTGTTTGGTAAATAAGGTTTAAAATACTGTAAGATCCTCACCAGCCGAGATATTGTCTGTCAAAGTCAGCTAGTTACTTTAGTATACTTCAGTTCCTGCACATCTATTTTTTGTCGGAGGGTCGAATGAATGTGAAATTAATTGAAGGGTACTTTCACTGAAAGGGTTACGGTAACTGGGGCGCTTGATCTAATTTCGCTATGGTTTAGTAAAGGGCTTGCTTAAGCAAGAAAACTGCCATATTTATTTTAATGTTATTGAATATGAGATTGACTACTTCCGGCATAATAATAACGATTTATATTATATTTAAACTCAAAAATCAGTCAATGCATAAATTATTGATTTCAAAAAAATAAATTAAAGTAAATGCATGTTGGGTAAGTATATATTGCGACGTCCGGATAAACAAAATGATAATTTCTACATAATGTTAATTTTTTTTAATAAATGATATACTATATACATACTAAGTATATAAGTGCAATATATGTACCTAATTGGTCTTCCTATTATCTTAATATATTTATTTAATAACAAATTTCCAATTTTTAAGAAATATTTAACGAGTCAAAGCCGTATTAAAAATATTTGATAATTAAAAATTTTAACAGCAGTTCAAATCAATACATTACAACGTATATATATATATATATATATATATATATATATATATATATATATATATATATATATATACAATTGATATATATCAATACTTGAAAATGACCTAAAATTATTTTATCTATATTTATAAAATGTCAGTCTAGCACTTATATCCGCAATGCAGCAGAACGTAGTGTAGCGTAGTCCCGAACCCCTCTGCTCTCCCTTATAGGATAAGAAGCTTCCGCTTACGATCAGTTTGTTAAAATGGTACTTTATTCAATTGAAATAATACGTTTTTCATAAAGATAAATTTCATTCGATTTATATACAAATAATTAGAATAAATTCTGCTTAGTAATGAATAGGCTTCAGTTATTAAACTACTTATTAGTCATTATTAATGAGAATGGCTGATCGCTAAAGCCTAAATAAACTCTCCATTCCTAAAAATATATAGGTAGATAGTTTTTATTTTCTCTACGATAGGAAGTATGAATTGTTATCTTTTCCAAGTATTTTAACCAAACAAATAATAACAAAAAAAACAATATTAATTTGTAAATAATAATTTGATTACATGCTTTGTTATAATAACATGAGTTCATACATATATTGTATACTAAACATGTTAAATACCAGATTTAATTTTTATCAATTTGAAATTTAAAAACGCTTATTTCTAAATTGTAAAATTTTAATCTAAACTAGATGATAACAATAAAGTTTTCCTCTTTTTATTATATCACTAGCGACTCACCCTCGCTTCGCTCGGGTTCGTTTCAAGTTTCCCATACAGACTTTCATCCCCATTTTAACCCCCTTAAGGGATGATTTCCGGCATAAAAAGTATCCTATGTCCTTTCCAGGGTCTCAAACTATCTTCTTACCTTTCATATAAATCGGTTTAGTAGATCCAGATATTACTCCCTACATTGTCACAAACTCACAAAATCACAATCTCACAAACTTTACGTCTTTATAATATTAGTATAGACTGGATGATACGCACACAGTATCTTCGAGTAGATACTACTACTACAACTACAAGATTGTAAATACTTTTTACTACCTAATTATATTTTTTCTTATTTATTCTAAAATAAACGTCACTTTCATATTTCGATATAAGATGAAAATCTTGAAGCCCATTTCACGGTTACGTAAATATTATAAAAAATATTAAAATAAACAAGATTAATGTTAACACACTTATGTACACATATTAAATTAAATTATTAATTCCTGCTATAGTCTTTCAATATAAACATTCTAATCGTTACTTAAATTTTCTTGTGTACTCTTAGGACGATGCTTTAAATTATTTATAATTTTAAAGGCAAATATATAAATACATATTTGGATTATAATATAACAATATAATGAAAAAAAAACTCACGTTTAAACTTTTAAAATCGATCTCCATTAATCTTGCAATTCGCATAAACTTTGAAATACCTTAGTAACTTTAGTCGTTACTCGTAATATTTGCAATGTCAACAAGTTTTTTTTATTTCAGCGGGAATGCAACGCTGAGTCCGGGGTCAATGACCTTTAAGGCGGGAAAGTAAGATTGGGTGCACACATAGATTAGCATTATCATAAGTAGAATATTTTTTTTTTAACTTTTGCAATTTACTTTTATACGTATAAAGAAATATATTATAAAAAAATTATATTTGTTTTTTAAATAAAATAACATTCAAAATAGTTACCATAGCAACTACAAATACCAGAATAAAACTTATGCAAGTAAATTATGTTTAATTTAAATAAATTATTCATTCAAGATCCTATTTATTTTTGTGGTATTCTTTATTTCATTCATAGTGAGTATGTATTAGAGAAATATTTTTCGACTAATTTATCCTAATAAGCTATTAAATAATAAATAGGAGGAAGACGCAAATATCCTATGTACATACATACATATATCTATGGCATAATTTAGTTAGGATTTATGATCTTTGCCATCGCATGTTTTATTTATTTTACATTTTTCTGGGCATCTTTACAGTAAAGGCTAATTGTATGTGCAGACGTTCAGTCATAAATAATCGTAGTAATTCATCAGAACCGCTCAAACATTTCTGCTTCGCGCCATAAACCGCCAACTTAGGAATGTCGACCGACTGGCTTCGATATCGACAGCTGTGAAAAAACAAAGCGACACACGCTCTTCTACACAGAAAGCCGGCGGCCGAGTGAGAAACGAAGCTACCTAGCTAGCACAATTTTCCACCCACAGAAACCGCGTCCGTACGGCCAACTTCACACACATCCATACTGTGTCGAATGCCGCTGCGCTGATTTCCTTCTTAGCACCCCTCCTCCCCGCGAGACGCCGGACAACTCGGCTTGTTCTTTCGCAATAACTGGTGATTCTTCTCAAATTAGAATTACAACATGTAGAAGAACGATCTGGGATATTGTAGAGTCCAAGTGGTAGGCAGGACGCTGCGTATTTTCAGAGTATTCGTGAATGGCATCAAATTAGCCGGTGCGGGGAAGCGAGGGGGCACGCCGCGTCAGCCAGCGACCGGCGACCGCTACTCGCTCGCTACCTCGCGCGTCGCCAACTAGTCGTGTTCACGGCGCCACACGAAAAGCACGCGCGGCTCTCCTTCAAATCGGCCCGCACCCGAATAATGTTTCAGTGTTTGACAAACTCAATCGGAGGTCTCGGAAGAAGTACCATAATTAATTTACACTGTATAACCAACCGCATATTCTCAGTGAGTGTCACGCAGTGTGTGCGGAAAAAACTTTGTCGAAGATTCTGAAGAATCTTGTGTAAAATTGTGTAATTCGCCGGCCGCGTAGGTACGGATCGCGTTTTGCACAAACTTTCTGGTGAGTTATATTTCATTTGTTTTATAAGTGTTGTGAAATAGTTTAGGGTAAATACAAAAGTTTTCTTGCCGTTTTAATAATACGGGTAGATACTTAGATAGATAGTCATTGTACGGAGTGGCGGGGCGTTGCCGGTTGCGAACCGCGCTCGGTAGACGATTCTGCGAAATGCCGGCACCCAAATTCCTAACATTGCCGAAGCAATGCAGTAAATTCCTTTATAATAACAATAATAATAATAAAATATTATTTGTTACTAAATGACATTAATATATAGAATGTTTAGTGGGTATTTAAAAATAAAAAGTATTATTATATTTTAATAAAAATGTTGTTGTGTATAATAATGTTGACACAAAGTTGTAATAAAATTTACGTTGTGTTAATTTTGTTAGTTCAGTATTATTTTTGGATTAATTAGTTACTAAAAAAATATTATGTAATATTATTTTATCGCTAAAAGTTATAATACTTATAATTATTATTTAGTTTTTGGGAAATTTACTTAAATTATTTACTTAGTCTTGTGAAAATATTTTTTAATACTTAATAATATTTTATTTCAATAGTTAAATTAATATAGAAATTAATGCCAATTTTAAACTACATCTAAAAACTATAATCTATTTATTAGTTTTTTTTATGAGAAAAAAATATTCTTGGAAAATATAAGCATAGAATCTAAGATTGTTAATAACTAAATATATATATTTAATATATATATTTAATATCAATCTGTACTTAAATTATTATTTGACCTATAAAATCATATGAAAAAAATATTATCGTGTATTTGCAGTCATTTATGAATTATTAAGAAATGTAATAAGTAAAAAATTGAATTAGAAGTAGATAGAATATATCTTCGTATATAAAATACAAAGTGTATAAATAAAGTTTTTTTTTAATAAAAACAATACACGTAGTACACACATGGTACAACTATATGCGTTTGTGATTCAACAGAATTACTCGTATTATCTACGTAACATACGTAATGGTATGGACATAATTGTCTCTGCTAAGGAAAATGCAAAATAGCGGGAAAACGACGATTTGTATTATTAGTAAACATTGGTTTCGCGCCATTATACTCTGTAAACAAAAGTAAATTTTGTGCTTTGCCAAATTTATGGAATCCTGTTGCCCTCAGGTAGAAAAATTAAAAAAAATGGGGGCGGCTAGGACAATAACTAATTGTTTGATTTGGGATTTGCCTCAAGGCCAGTGTACCCTTTAAAACTGTTGTTACTCGTATCCAGGCTTCAGTCGACATTCGGGCTTCATGCAGACCAGTTCATAGCTAACTGTCTTTCTTTACAATCGAGATTTGTTTGTAAATACGAGGGGTCAACACCCCTTGTGTTTATAGTCGCGCTGAATTTTCTTGAGTTTCTTAATATTTTTAAATCGGTGCTAGCCTGGACACTTAGTGCAATATCAGATACTACTATTAAATAATATTACACAATTTAATTTATTTCTTAATTAGTAAAGTGCAATTATTACAATAAGTTTTCGTTTGTTACAGACGGTGTGCGTGGAACGAATTGCGCGCATCGTCCTTGTGATAAGAGGGCCCTGTGATATCGACGAGTTCGTCTTAGCTTTAAAACTAGTTAGGCTTTAGTTATACAAAATGTCGACAATGCTCGACGACGCTCACATACTTCAATTCGACGTCTGGGAGACGCTGGATGAGGAGTCCATGGAATTGACGCAAACTTCAGAATTCTGGACTCAAGTCCAGTATGAAACAGATAGAATGGACATGGGACCGACGTCAGACTTAAACAACATACAACCGGATGACATTGATTGGAGAATAATAGATACACCTGAGGAGCAACATAAAGATAACATTGTGCATCATGACTGTATGTGGGCAGGCTCATGTATAGATTCCAAACATCCATCTAACACGTTCGTTCCTTCGGATTTGATCACTGCTACTCCTGGTCAGAGTTTGCTGCGGCGTGATACATCTCCGCCTAGACCGGACACTCCGCCCTCGCTGGATGGTGACGAGCCCCCACAGTTCCGCCATGCGGTAGACGTTGCAGGCACTGCCCTGAGGCTACTGAGGGACTCTGCAGCCGTCGCCGCTGACCACTCGTACACCCTAGCTCGCCAACATAATATGGACTACCTCGGCGTACAAACACCCTCTGACTCGTGCGAATCAGGTCAGTACACTTTATTAATTTTTATCTTATAATGATAAAATGTAAGATTGAGAATCTTACACTTTGCGATGATGTAACACTTAATATTAAAATGCAATCATGACCGAATTGGTGTTATAAAATTTAAATCGACCGTTTAAATATCTTGAACGATGTCGGACGGATTTAAAATTTAAATGTAGCGGACATTTCAGGGACTTGTATTGAAAATCCGCACAATCTATCGACACTGATAATACATAGTGTATATATTGCTTTGTTTCTATGTAATTAATTTTTTTTATATATATAAATAAGTAATATAAATTTCAATATGGATTTAATTTTAACGGATTTTTAGGCATTCTTTTAAAATTTAAAGTTATACTCCCTAATCGTTCAATACTTTAAATTCTCTTGTATTATAGTTTGATATTTAATTATATTCCGACCTAAAATCAAGGACTTTATAATTTTTTACCATCGCGTTTTATACTTAGAAAGTTCTTGTAAATGAGTAATTGAGTTTAAGAACACCGACAAGATGGAAGCGAGTCGTAGGACGCAGGCGTCGCGACAAGCGCGGGAAACTGCGTATCGACCGACGCAACCCTCCCCTGTCTAGACGCACCCGCTTCCGGAACCTTCGCGACCTTGAACGTCTCAACCTTAATGTCTCATCCACATGACAGCTAATTACTTCTAAACCTACCCTGGTTTATCCTCTGGGACTCTAGGTCAATCTTATCCAAGTTGAATTAAACATTTATTGATGTATTTTAACATATAAAGCCGGTTTGATGAGATAACATAATTGACATATATTTATGTAAAATTGGAGGTTTGAATTACACATAGTTGTTTTAAAACCTATCTGTTACATCTTTCACCTTTGCAACACTTAAAGGTACATCTAACTTTCCTTTCAAAATATATAACAATTTAGTAATGTTTCCCAAATCCTTAGCATCGTCCTTACCAGGGTCCCGAGGTCGTAGAACGATCAGGACGTCCCGACATTGACGCATCATCCTCGGGTGAAGGTTAACATCCTCGCAGTCTGGACGCCTAATAAAAATGATGAACGCGCTTCAAAGTTCATATCTATCGATTCAATTCATTCGAGTGGCGGATTAGAAATCGAATAAAAAATTAATTTAAAATTAAAGTTTTTAAAACTCAACTTCATTTAATTGGATCATCACGTGCTCGATGCCTTAATGCAATCAAACACATACACACACAAGCCATTGTTCTCAAAGAAATTAATAGATTAATTAAATAATTAATTTGCATCAGAATGTATTGGAACAGCAACACGCTCTTTAATATGCGTTTTATTTATTTATATGCGACCTAAACACACATAACAAACAATTTAACTACATTGTGTTTAATCGTTTCTGCACTATGTCTCAGATAGCTTCCAGTAAGGTCGCAAGTTGATTGATTAACGTTCTATACAAGTTCATCCATCTATAGTTTTTATCCCTACTTTTTGATCGAATTCCTAATTACAAGGTATAAATAAATCGTGGATTACTGGCGTATCTCGACTGCAGTCCGTTATTCGTATAAGAATGCAACGGAATGAAATGGAATCTCATTGAAGTGGAGCTCGCGGCTCGCCAGACCGGTTTGAGACGGTACTCCCGTGTCTAGTCCGGCCGGATGACAATTTGATAGACGTCTATAACTCAGAAACATCCATTAAACTGGGCAATTACGATTCTTTACGAATATCGATTAAAACCGGAACGTCAGACTAGCGAGTAGCGCGGGAAGTTTTACACATGCGCAGTGTGCTTTCCCGCCTCACAGTAAAGTACGCTGTTATCTGTTTTTCTTCCATTTTTTGTAAATACGCAGTAATGATTTGTTTAATTATTTAAACTTTACAATGATGTATATACCGGGTGTGGAATAATAAATCACTTTTATTAAAGCATTTCACGTTCCTAAACGTCGACGCATCGGTCTATTCTTTTGACATGTTTTATGTCGTTTTTATTTGAAACGGTAAAGTTTTGCTAAGGTTTCACAATGCCGCGTAGTTATAAACGCGAGTAACCTAATAAACTCTGGACTGATAAGCTTGCTAGGTGCTTTTGACCCGCACATTATCTTGATAAATTGCGCGTTTGCAAACGTGATTTATGACATTTAAATTCTCATTCACTAAGTAGGTGATTTAAGTAGGGCGACTTATGAGTTCCTTTATGGCGATTTGGATCGAAAGATCCGGTTCTGTTCCTAACTGTATCAATCAGTGGCCACATAAATTCCTATTGCAATATTGAATTAAACTACATATTTTTTGTGACTACTATTTCACAGCTGATCATATTTATAGTGACATAATTATTTTTAATCGTGTTGCAACTTGTCTACAAGCAGTACTGAATTCATGGCGGTATGTTACTTATCTCCTTACATGTAACAAGGAATAGGGTATAGATATAGAGTATATTCCATCCAATTCGATTTGACAATGTTGAATTGGTTTGACTAACTATGTTCTATAAAGGATTTTATATTTTATCAAATTGCAAACCGTAATAAATGGCCTCGGGCGTGTAGTTAGAGCAATTTGAACGGTAACATTAGATATTTCAAGCTGCGACCTAAATATTGTGTTACTTAGCGTTGAACCTAGCCATAACTCTGTTACTAGTCGACCTGCCGTCACATAGTCGCAATCGGCCGTGTGTGTTCTATTATACGTTCCAAATACCATAATATTATTACAATAAAATATTATTTAATATTTACATTATTAACGTATTTAATGTCATGCTTATGTAAGCGCAGACGTTCAAGCAAATACAGCCACTGTGACAAATTCATATTGTGCCATTTTTTATTTGATTTACGGCTGTAACACGAACAAAAACTTTAATTTTCTACTTTATCGTCGCCTAACTCTGATAAGTGTATTCACCACGCCTCGGCCCTTATTACATTTATATGTAAAAATGTAGATACGCAGTAATGTAGTGGAAGTGACCTTGTATTTATCGTACTACTGAGATATTCGAAACTCAGCCTGTAGATAACTAGATTCGCGTTCGAGATGTTTGAAATACTAGGTCACTACATGATTGTAGATGGAAATTCCTGATAAAATATGAATAGCGTTACCCAAGTGGATATTTTATACATTTATGTTAATGAAAATCTATACATATAATAAAATTCTAAGCCGAATCTGTACATCAGTACAGATCGATACAGAGGCCGAATCTATAGTTTTTAGAATTTTTGTCTGTCTGTCTGTTATCGCATCATGAGGAAACTACTGGACAGATTTTGAGGACATTTGGTATGGTGATAGCTGGTTATCCGGGTCAACATATAAAATACTTTTTACTGTGGGAAAAAATCTAGTACTTAATAAATACGTAAATCGCACAGAAGTTTCAAAAATATTTCAGTGAAGATACAGCTTTACAAGCGTCCGCGTGTCCTTCGTGAATCAACTATCAATGCCGATAACAATATTACAACGTGTCACACTAACATAAATTTGTATTGTCTTATCACGAAAGAGGTCTTAAGTATTATAGTAACTTCTGATAAGCCGCCGCGGTAACAAGATAATATCCGAATTCACCTTGATCTCCCCAAATTTTCATTTTTTACCAATTATTATTAATTATTATATTCTTTAATTTTTTATTTGTCGTATACATTAGTTACGTCCTTCGCGACTCATCGATTGATCTTGTACAACCTTTAGCACCTTGGTATTGTTTGACTGTGGGACGTACTTGAGTTTATTTACGTTTTAGGTAATTTTCTTCGAATTCGGATACGAATACGGAATACATTGAATTACAAGTAGGTATTGTAATATAATATGTAAAACGTTTAATAAATTATAATATAGGCAAAAATGCAATTTAACGCTTAATTGATAATTATTTCTCTAAATTACCGTTAATTCAGTTAAACCGTTAAATAATTTGAAAGTAATATATTCCTTAAGTCCCATGTAAATGATGAGGTCTAATGAATATTGAAAATTTTAATTTGATATAACGCAATGTGTGTTGTGGTGTTGAAAATACAACAAAAATGAAGTGTAGATTGGGAACCAAGCCCTAACCAGTTTTTAAAAATTCGGAAATATTTACGTCAATCATTTAGATAAAAAAAGCTAGTTGCTTGACCACTACGTGCCGTGACATTTTAGATAGGTCAATGCTAGGCATTATATTAAAATAATTTATGTTGGCGACAGATGACTAGATTATACATGCGAATATCGCCGTTATTGATTTTGGTCGCATTATTTGCATAACTCCAAATAATTGTGAACAAAATGCGATTTTTTTTAAAATTATATATCTCAGTAATTTGGTTCTTTTTATTTTTGTCATAAATGTATTAATTTATGTAGTGCGTTCATACCGATTTTTCCGCTTATGAATGTTAAATTGGCCCATCGAAACAGCAGTTTTTTACGCACACGCACGTCCATGAACTTCCGTACCAAACTCATCAAGGTCGCACTAAACCAATCGATCCGCCATAAATTACCACTGCCTATTATAGCTGGCACCCAAACTCAAGTGGTTACCACAACAGTGATGACCGACTTTTCTTGGTTGCGTAATGCGCCAGAAATACCTAATCGGCAGTATGTAGGCCGGTTTAAAAGTTCCCTTGCGTACTTATATGGGCGGACACGCTAACCATTCCGACTGAGTGACGGGTGACTGCCTTATGAGTAGCCGTTTAGGTTTATCGACGTCGAGGAAGCTATAATTTAACTTATCTTTTAATTAACTAAGAAGTTTCCGTTTCGAAGCGTTAAAAAAAGATAATTGGTGAAGTTTCCTATAAAAATTATGAACAACAGTTTAGAAACTCGCGCGGCCTCTTATTCTAATTAGTATCGGCTACATGGATATCCTACAAGATTCATCTACAGGTTGCTATTTATATGTTGAATCATTCGTTACTTAACATCAATTAGATAAGTATAATAATATTCAAGGACGTTTTTTTGTTTTTATCATAATCTTTTTATCAATGCCAAGACTTTTTAACGTCATAATTACAAAATACCTTTTGTGTTATTTTAAGATGACAATCATTATCATTAAAGATTATCAAAAATTGTTTTTATTTTGTGCTACTTTAAAAACGCAACGTCATTTCGTTGAACTTGTCTTGAGTAAAAATCCATTAAGCCTCGATGCAGCTCATGAATTAGTTTTTTTTAAATATCGCGACTTTACCAAACGGCCTGTATATGATGGCGTGAGTCGCGAGCACGTCACGATAATTTTTAATTATCGCTCTCAAATGCCAGTGAACTTGGCCTCGGATCGTGGGCAGCGGAGCGTGTGGCCTCTGCCTTAACAGGTCACACCTGACGACATCTTTGTGTTGCGTTCCATTCGGGATAGCATGACGGCGTCAAAACAACCACTGCATTACACTTTCAACAGTTCTTCCGTACAGTTATGCAAATATAAAACTAAAAAAATTATGTTGCAAATGCAACCCTCAATCGCCGTTTAGTCGGAGCTTGCGTAGCCAGAGATCATTGAGAACTTATAATGGCATTTTCCACATTGTTAGGGGAGATTTTACCCAGTAAATGCTGGTGAAATGGACGTTAACAGCAATCGCCTAGCTCGCTTAATTAAACAATCTCAGAGAGATCGCGAACTTTCCCTCTAGACATTTCCTACACGAGTATAATTTACTCTGCAGCATAAATTGTTTTGGAGACATTTCGAAATTTCGTAAAAGTGTTCACTTTAAATTTTAATTAGTAGCAGAAGTGCCAATTTTAATCCTATCCAAATATAATGACTACACTTGTTATAATAAAGTATCTCAGAATTGTAAATAAAATATTGAATATGGCATTATTACTCTATAGATTCGTTAGTCTCTGTAAAATCAAACTTGAGGGAAGTTCTTCGCGGCATAATTGGAATGATGTTGTTTGCAGACATTTGGTTTCGTTAAATGTTACATAATTAAACAAGTTGTTGACACCACGGGCACATCTTTTGTACGTAACTCTAAATACAACTCATTAATTGTATAAGTAAGTTCTGAACTGTTGCAACTAATTCAGTTCGCTCTACGGTGTCTAGTGGCATACGGTATGCGGTTAACTGCGAATCTATGACTCATTGTGTTTCTCACGGCAAGACAGACGGTACCTAGAATTTGTGACTAATCATCTCAAGTGGGAGAGCTTGTTCAAGACAAGCTATTTCAGCTGATTTTATATCACATTTATTTTGACTTTTATCTCGCAATGTCGAGTCGAAACACTGGACATAAAAAAGATACATTTTATGAACGAAACCGTAACTGTAAACTTAAATTTAGATTTTGACGTACCCGCGTACTCTATACTCTATAGATATAAAGATATTGTAATAAGACGCCCGTCTTCGGAGAGCTAGCAGTTTTTACCGCGTTCGGATGTCGGCAAACAATAAAAAGCGGATTATCTCTGGGAAGGTTTAAAATTGGAACGGCGGCAGATCATAGAGCCGTGTCTCGAGTGATGTCGATATAATAGATATGCACTAGACCGAGCCCGCGCACAATACGGGGCGTATCGCTTACACGCAAAGCTGAAACAAATACTGTCAGGCGTCCGTTAATCGCGTCGGCGCCAGAGAAAGAGAAAATCGTCAAGTGAAAATCGACCCCTTGTACAATGGATCCTCCACGCCTACATTTAGACGTCATGTGAGCTGTGTTTGACGACAGGCGCCGATACGCGGTACGGAATTAGATCGACGCGCCACGGCGATAAGCGTTCGCGTAACTATGCGGAAATCGAATAAAAACTTTGCGTTGGTGTGAAAATTTATCGTCACTTTGGTCGAATATGCGTTTTTTCGTACTGCGTAGTTGCAAATTACACGGACGTCCCTGAAACGCGTACCATTTTGTAATCCAACAGCTGCCCACGTTACTTGTTTCTATTTTCAGTAGTTAGGATGTAATCAGAAATTCTCGGGCGGCGATTAATGATGACTTGTTAGAACGGGGCCGAGTCGGGCGGCTTTAATCACAATGTACCGCTGACATAATTATTCGTCGTGTAACTGGATAATGCAACGCTTGCGACGGCTTATGCGAAACATATGGCATAGTAAATATGACAGCCGCAAGACTACTCTATTACTTCTGTAGTTCAATACGCCTTTCCTTACCTATATTTACTTACTCGACTCACTCATTCATAGAAATACAATGTCGCCTTTATGCTGCCCTCGACAGTATTTTCGCTGCAATGCGATCATTGCAAAACCGCGCGGAATTTAGACCGAGTTTCCGTTGGCATAGAATTACCTTAAGTCTTATTATATTTTGTCTAAGTATGATTAACAATATTAATATCCTGCTCATTTGGGAGTTCTGGCCCAATGGTCTTTGCTCTAGAAAATGCAGGTAGATTATAATAGGAAGGCGCCCGTGTTGAGGTAGTTACTATTGACGCCACCAACTCCGTACGTCTTCCACATTTCTTTAAATTATACTCGTAAATGTATATAAGTTTTCTTAAAAATACAAATTCATAATAATTTGAATAATTTAACGTAATATATAAAATTTATATTAATTCTGGGCGAAACATGCTCCCAATAAATGTTTGACACCTAATACAATACATTTAAAGCGTCGCCGGAAACCGTTTCCACCGGTTGATATCCGGACGTCCATTGAGAGTGGACGCTGCGGCAAAACCGCGCACGCGCTCTAGTTTTGGCGCGAATAGCCGTGACGTCAGGCGTCTGGATCGATGTCGACAGACGCTGCGGTAGTACGACGGGGTCGACGCCCTCCCCCCTTCCCCACCCACCACCTGAATACTGCAATCGCATCCTCGGCTACATCTATCTATCTCTATAGGCGCTATGACAATCGCCCGCCTTTTATGGTGATGAACGTAATGAATGCTATGAATGAAAGTGTTCAATATGTAACGTTTTACGCGGGTTTTATTTATTAATCTGATAGGCAAGCTTAGATTTTAAATCAATTAATAGTAATAAAAATATACGTATACTAAATATGAAACTTCATTTGAAAAGTTTGGAAGGAAGCTTTTTTTCTAAACTCATTCTCTTTTGTTGCAGAGGAGGAAATCGATGTCGTTTCTGTTGGAACAACCCAGCAACCATTGGCATCAACATCCCAACTACGCGTAGATTCCTTGCCGCGAACACCTTCCATCCAAGAGCGGCATCACATACAGCATTCAGTTGAAAACGTTATAACAAGACCCCCCGCTAGAAAGCGATTAATACCACCAGCTACGATACCGTCAGCCTCAGTGCCTCGCCGGCGGAGAGGCCCCGGAAGACGTGGTCGTTCCAACACCGATACAGACTCTGAAGCAGAATCCCCGGAAATCGAACGTCGTTCCATCCACAATGACATGGAACGTTTGAGACGTATCGGCTTAAAAAATCTGTTCGATGAACTTAAAAAACAAATCCCAGCGACTAGGGACAAGGAGCGAGCGCCCAAAGTGGTTATTCTACGGGAAGCAGCCGCCCTTTGTCGCAAACTGCGGGAAGAGGAGCTCGAGAAGGAGTATCTTAAAAAGCAACAAAACAAACTACAGGCCAAGCTGAAAAAACTTCGTACGATGCTAGCCCGCTCTCGCACTTACTGAACGATGTATGTAATGCGGATGTTTGGTAACGTTTGATCGAGTCTAAGGACTGTTGACTTTCTAAGTCGTGTTATGAGGATGTGACTCTGTACAGGACGGCGACAAGGCGTACCGATGTCTTCAAACGAAGTCATATGTTGTTTTCTATTATCAGCTTTTACGGCTTACTCTGCTTCTGGGTATTGTGCGTAATGTTGTGACAGAACTAATGTATAAAATAGCCGGTTTGGTTTGCTCAAACGTTTTGCAGTGCCAAAGTGAGCCATAAAACTGTTTATACATAGGTCACAGTAAACCTCTTAAATAGTGTCAGACTGCTTCGTGAACTAGTAGACTGGTTTTACCTCTGAAATATTTTTAAATTATCACTTTAATAATAATAGTTGACATAATACATTACATTTGATCTTAATATCATAACATTTTAAGTTTCGATGACGATTGGGATTATTTACTGGACCTTGAATAACGATAAGTCGACTTCGTGAAACCTGTAAATAAGATTGATAGAGTGAATTTATTAGTTAGGATGGCAAAGGTTGTTGTTGGCTTCGGAAAGTTCTAGAGGCGCTGGCCATTATATATGTTTTCGGCCCCGTTCATTTTAGGATTTTCTTTTCCCGCGTCTCGACTTTGAAATTCGAGAGCAGGGTAGTGATATCAATATTGTCTTAACTTTACTGTTGTTGCTAATAATTGACACTTAGATTAGCTCGCTTACGGTTTTTTGTAGTGTTTTTGTTATTTTGTAAATTTTAACATTTATTGTTTTTTTTTTTTTATATTTAGACGAACGATAATCTTCGAATCACTATTTTAAAATAAAATCATTGTGAATTACTCAGCATTTGGACCATTATTGAGCTAACTAATAATTTTTAATATAAATTGCACTTATATAAAACGCATTTCATAACACATAGCTATTATGATATAGTATAAATATGTAATGAAATAGCGCACGTCTAATTGTTTTCGCGCCGTTTTGTTCATTTATGCCACAGATTAAAAAAGCAAATGTGAACAATCGAAAACGATTAGTACGCGCTTTGGAAGTTGATTAAATTTGCACTCATTGCATAATTATTGTACGTGTATCATAATTAATAGTAGAATTTTATTTTATCTAAATGGGATATATGGACGAAGTGAAATGGAATTTTAAATATTTAGTTGTCTAACATTCAATAAATAGAATAATCTCAGTGACTTGTGTCCGTTCATGAGTAAATAGACTGTGTATTTTGATAATAACATCAAAACCTACGATTACAGTTCGCCCGTATTGGGCTCTAACATAAAAATAACCACAAAATAGTTCCTCATAGTACCTACTAATAGAAAATTTTGCATTTTCATTATTATTATATTATATTTTATGGCAGTAAGTTAGTGATGTACTCGCGTTAGTTACGAATTACGATACGAGTGAAAGCCTGGCCAGAAATTATTTTAGGCCAGGATTTGGCATAGATTATAAGTGCAGTGTTTTTTTTTCTGGTCAGGCTTTACAAAGGTTGATGTTTTTTATCAATAACATGGTCAAACAGTACGTAAAGGCTTTAATTGTGTGCGGAATGTGCCTTGCTATGTACATATATAGATAATGTTAGGTTTATACTCGAATTAGTTGCAAGAAATATTTTTTTGTGAGAAATATTATTGTAGGAATATAGCGTTGTTCTTATAAGTAGTAGAACACGAGGAGGTTTATATTTATCGTGTTAAAGATTTGCAGTTTATCTTCCACTAGGCGTATAATGTACATAATAGGAACTAGATCATAGACGTATGTCATCTTTTTTATAAAAGTCTTTTTTTTCTAGTAATTGTTTATTTTTTTTCATAACTTGAGAGTCATTCTCGAATGTTGTACCTGCATTTAATTTTTTTTGTTAATCTTGACATAAATAATAAAGATAATAAATGATTTAGTTATTTGAAAGTAACATTGGTTTTCATACAGTGTTTAATGGAAAATAGCGCTTACATAAGGAAAAGTCAGTATGTTAATCGTTTATTAATAAGAAATGACAGCTTTATATTCGGTAGACAGATCGAGATAATTAAAGCGAAAGCAATGCACATAATTTGTGACAAGGCACATTTCCACCACTGCCAAAAGGAAAATATTAATAAGGTAAAAAATTGCATAGCAACATTGATTTGTATATTTTATAAATAAGGTTGGGATGATTAAGTCATGTTGTAGTTTAATTTTTATTACTTTTTCTTTGTATAGTATCCTATGTAAGGTAGAACATCTAACCGTTGTCTGCGGATCGGAACCGGCTGTATAGTTTTAAATAGATGAGTTTGGTTGTCAAAATGTCGGTAGGCGTCGGTGGGCTTCCTCGCGATGCGCAGGCGACGGTTGCTGTACGCCGCTACAGAGAATGCAGGATGCAAAATAGATTCCGCCTAACATTAATATTGCACTTTGCAATCTTTGAAGCGGCGTTTTAAATTACAAAAACACACGTACTTACCACGTCTGAGTTTTTTTTTGGATACTATTATTATGTGGAGAAAAGAAAAGTTTTTTGGTTTTTGTTCCTTAATTATGTGTATCAAAACCTTAAGATAATCAATAAATATGGAAATAAATGGTAAGTCGGATTGCGCAGAGCTCGGAAATAGTTGGCTATTAGATTGTGATTTTTATACTTTTTTGGTATATTTCTGGGGGATGACTAATTTGGCGTAAGATTAGGAATGCACCGATACGCACTTTTGGCGATACGATACCGATGCGGACACTGCAGGCTTCAAAATGTATAAAAAGTAAAAAAAATGTAGGTTTAGGATAGAAAACACAGCATTACTTACATAAGTAATATTTAGTTATAATCTAACAAAACATCAATTATGTTTTGAAAATTGTAATTTAACAGAACATTAGTTATTTTTTTGAATTTATATTCAAAGTTCACTTTCATAAGATTTTTAATTAGAAAACTATCTAACCTTAAATTATTGAAAATGTATCGACAAAGTAATATCGCCGATATCGATATATCGGAAAATGGACGATATCGCCGATATATCGGTATTGGTATCGGATGCATCCCTAGTTGAGATTCTGTGATTATTGTACCTGGATGGTACAGTTGGGGTGCTGCTTCCCAAACTCTGCTAAGTTCGGCTGAAAAATAAATATCAGATTTTCCTTTATTTACCTCCGCATCTTAACCTTTTTTTTAGAATAGTATTAACACATAGTAATAAAAATAAATTACTGTCAAATCTGTATATACTATAATATAACTTTTAATAAATATAAATAAAATTAAGTTAAAAGAATATAATACCTACATAGATAACAATAAATATAAATAAAATTAAGTTAAAAGAATATAATACCTACATAGATAACAAAACAAAAGTAACATTTAAATACTGAAACAAAACATAAAATTTATGAACATAATTATCATAGAATAAAGAAGAAAATAAATAATTCAATAAAATTATTCATTAGAATCTACATACTTTGTTATTTAGACATTTACGTACAATATAAAAACATGACAATTTCCTAATAGAAATAAACAACAACAACTTTCCTTTACAAGCAAATTCTCTTGAGTGGAAGTATTATAAATAGCATCCACTCGATGCGTAATGACTATCAAAACAAATGTATACACGTGACATGGAACTTCACGTGAAACCTACTATAAACATTTGGCTGTATGACGAACGACCTTTTCTAATAATGGAACGCACTCGGCACTACTCGAGCTGTCAAAACAGAAGTGAAGTTAGTGCATAGTGTGTGAAGTGTGTTGCGAAATCTACTATGGCTTTAAGGTCTGTGTTATCGTGTAAAATCCCAATGATTATTATTTTAGGAGCTACCGGGACAGGAAAAACTAGATTAGGTGTAGAATTAGCACAAAAATTTAGATCCGAAATCATCAGTGCCGATTCAATGCAGGTAAGATTGACATAACCTAAAAATGTTTGTTTATAAAGTTTAGCAGTTGTTGTTTCTGCTATAAGGAGTAAATTGAAAATTTATTGTATATTAGTTTATTGTGCACAGTCATGTATTTTCTGAAACACCATGATTAATTACCAAATCCATGATTTAATAGCGATTTTTTAGAATAACTAAACATAACCTCTTCAGTCATTTGTTTTTGAAGTAAAAAAAATTAACCTATAAGTATGAAAATATAAAGGCATGCCTTTATGATTAAAAAAACGTAATATAAATACATAATTAATAAGTGTGACGACAATTTATAATAATTGTTTTTTAAATAAAAGAAAAAGAAATTAAATAATCATGCAGAAAATGGCTATAACAATAAAGTTATGGAAAAGTTTGATGTAAAGTAGATGATGTTAAAATTTCTCTTTTCTAGTTGAACTTATTAGTGTAACATAATTAGTTACAGCACTCTCTTATACTATTTTGCCCTGATGAAGCAAACTAATAGGGCTTTTTTTACTCACACTTTAAAAACTAATACTTTTTCTATTTAGTGCTTAACTTTAATGCAAAATCAGTGTTAGATCCAAGTAGAAAATGATAGGTGAGGTAAGGTGGAAGCAACACTTCCTTGTGCTCCTTCTTGTTAATCTTGTCAATGAAGTCGTTAATACAATTATCAACCTTTTATATGTAACATAATTAAGTAGAATAATAATATATCAAGAAAATCATTTCACTCTGTGAAAAGTGCCTCATGACACTCCATCCTTCAAAATATCTGTATTATAAACAGCATTTTATGTTTTGACTATCAAGTCACCCTCACTCTGCTTGGATTTGTCCCTAGTTACGTTTCAACGTTTTGTATACATTTCTCAGAGGTGAGATATTTTTCCGCAGTAAAAAGTATCCTATATGTTAACCTGGATAACCTCCTATCTTACCAAATTTCATCAAAATCTGTCCAGTGGTTTTATCGTGATGAGTTCCCAGACAGACAGACAAAATTTCTAAAAACTATAGATTTGGACTCTGTATCGAAAATGACTATTTC